GACTTGGCGCGTTTGCCCCAAAAAAAAAAAGAAATAACCAACAAGCAGTAGCTTCAGTTTCAGTTCAAGAAATGAACTTTCTTTGCGGCGCAGGCCCAGACCCAGACCCCAGGCCCCAGGCCTCGCCCACCTTGTTAAGCGTTAAGGACACACCAGAAAACAGGTCCTAACGAGGCGCACCACTCACACTTGGCCACAGATCGATCGACTGCCCAGCGCTGGATTTATTTTTAGTTAACGCTAAATTGCAAAACCATGGCAGGACTTGGCCATGCTCTTGCGGATTAAATGCCTCATCAGATCTCTCGCGTACGCTGCCAGAATCACGATTAAGAATATTTCAATTAGCTCAGTTATGATCCGCCATGGCTTGGGTCCAGCCACCTCTCTCGCGTATCCATCGATCCACAGCATTGCCGATTAAGGCAGCAAATTTTTTGGCTTTTTGAAACTTTCCAAGTAGAAAGAAAGTTTTTTGTTGGCCATCAAGCTATATGATTTTATTTTTTTTTTTTTTTTGCATCGTTTTCCTTTTCCCCGGAGTTTTTGCATTTTTGATTGATTCGATTTTGGTGGAGCATCTTTAAGATACATTTTGTGGCATGCTAATTAAGTCACTTGGCCGTCAAAGGGGGGATGGCAATTGAGATTGGCTGGTGGTGGTGGGGGTTAGTCGTCTCTCGTGTATTATTGCCGTACGGGCCGTAACGAGACGCGATCAAGTGGGCTGAGCCTAAAGGCTTTGATCTTGGTTAACGGATTTAATTGATTAACTTTCCATTTAATCCGCATCCTGTTTGACATTTGGCATTCAATGTCCTTCGGGGCCTTTGTACTCTGTGTCTGTCTCTGACTCTGTACTCCTGGAACGGCTACTGTTGCTGATGATGATTGCCCCATGGGAGTTGAGGAGACCTGCATAGGTACGTACGTACGTGGCAGTATCTGTCGTATCTGTCCCCGCTGATGAGCCAAAATTATGCCATAAATGCCAAGGTAAGACGATCCACGATCCACTTTCAACGCGCTTCGAGGCTGCTCATCTCGTAATATCCGCTCCATATGTATATATCATAATCCACAGCAGTGGCAATCAAGCCATCAAAATGCCTGCCACAAAAATATCGTTGCATCCGAAAACACTTTCATTAAACTAAATTTTTATTGTGGCACCACCACCACCACCAGACCAGGGAGCTCGGCAGGGAGCTCAGGCAGCGGGAGCAGGGGATCGACGTCATTTTCATTTATGGCGCGATTCCAAGCGATTCCAAAAGTCCGACTATAAAACTTTGACCCAGTTTTTGTCCATCTTGTTGTTATCATGCCGAGTATGAGCACGCCGCTGCCGCTGCCGCCGCCGCTGCAGCGCGCTGTGGCAGTTGCAAGCTGCCTTTCAAGCTTCCAAAATTGCTACAAATTACACATTTTTCGGGGCGCAAAAGTGTGCCGCATGCGTGACAGGGGCTGTTGGCCGTGCGACCCAGGACTTTTCTCCCCTCCCCCTCCAACAACAACTTTGCAATTAAGTCGGTTCCATGTAGCAGATTAAAGTAAATAATATCTGATGATACACATACTCGTGGTTGGTGCTCCTCTTCCTCCTCACTTCACCATAACTCATAAATTGTAATCACTTAGGGCGCATGGCGGCGGGCAGTAGGCGGCAGGCCTCCAAACTAGTTATCCTTATCGATGTAGGGCCCCAACCGAAGCTCGCAACGGACTTGCAGCGAATCGAATCGAATCTAAACGAAACGAAACGGAACGAAAAGAAACGAGAGGCGAATCCAATGCGAAACGCTCTTTATCGCGGTTATCCCATTGATTTATCTCTCACTTATATGGGGCCACACTTCCATAATAAACCATTTTATAATTGCCACAACGATTTAATTCATCGAAAGTTGCATTTCTTTTATCGATATGTAGATAACGTGTGATTTTGCATAGTGCTCTGGTTGAACAATAGGCCATAGATCTCCCCTTCAACTGTTATCTTTTATATAAAATATAATTTAATCATATCAGACAACTACAGTGAAAGTTCTCTGGGGAGAAATCTTTGCGCTTAACTTTACTTTTCAGGTGGAATCTCTCTTTTTGAGCGTTGGTCTCTCGGGGCAGAACATTGCAATGGTTTTAAATAACCTTTAATTGGGTTGGGAGTCTTCTTACTTTGCCATTTTTCTCTACGTGTACATATGTATTTAGTGGACGTTCTCTCGCGAGATCCATGCAAATCGAAGCGCTCATTAATGCTTCATAATCGCAGCAATGATTAAGTATCTTTTTAGCGATAATGGCTTTAGCTTTTTATGCAAAAACGTTGATAAAATTCGATTGGGATAATCGACGCTTATCGGGGCATTGAGAACCGTTAAACGTTTACAGCTTTGCAGGAGAAAAAAAACGAACACGCAAACAAAAATAACAACAACAAAATAAAACCCTATCCCATTGTTCAGTTACCGAAGCTTTAAATACCCTTTTAGATCCATCATAACCTCTTCTCCATAACGGTATAAGTGGACATGAAACGGAAATTCCCAAGAGATGAAGTTAACTTGTTTGGAAGTGATTCCTTAGATATGTACATGTTCATGTGCGTTCAGTTGGCAAAACATTTTCCCTAAATTATAAAACTCTCTTCAGCAAGGGTATCAAAAGAGCGACCAAAGATTCAGCATCGACAGGAACGCAACGCACACGCGTAGTCTGACTGAGACGCAGACGCAAACGAAGACGAACGATTTGCGATAAAATATATTAAGATAAATGCACACAAAAAAGAAAAGAAATGAGAAGAGAAGAAAGAACAAGAAATAGTTGCAAAACTTATTTACATTTAATTTGCATATTTTGAAACACTGGCTCACACACACGCACACACACACATGCGTCCGTTGGGGTTGGGGAGCTGCCAATAAATGATATTACCTTACCATCGAAGGGCGGCATTTGATGGTTTCAACAAAACGGTATACACGAGCTGCAAAATATTCGCAGTAACTAGCGACGTGGCGATGCAAGACTGCAAGTGAGAGAGAGCGTCAAAGAGGCTAAAATCGAATTGAATGTAAACAAGAGAATCAAGAGAGGCGAACGCAACAAAATAAACTGCAGTTATTCACATTCACTTCACTTTGACACTCGCTTCTTCGCTCTCTCGCCTACTGCGCAGCACTTGAATTCTCTTCTCCCACGCTTGCTGCTAGTGTAATGCCTCTCTATCTGTTTGGCTTACCTCCACCTCCCTCTTCAACGCATTGATCTTGTGCCATCATTTCGCTTGTTGCTGAAGGTGAGAGTACATATCGATGATCCCGTTAACAAATTTTATGTGAACTAATATTTTCGCTGGAACACGACTAACAGAATATACATACATATGTACGTATGTGTCATTGTGCTGCGTAACATTTTCGCTTGGCTGTATAATTGGACAGAGCACTGAACATAAGAGAACAGAGCAGGACAGCAACAGTTTGCAGATGTGCGAAGCGACAAAGCCGTTATCAAAGATTATTTTGTATATCTACCAGTGCACACACACACACACGCAAGTGTGCTTATGTTTGTGAGCACCATGCGGCTTTTTGAGCTTCTTCGTTCTTTTTTTGCTGTGGGAGGGGTGGAGATGGAGAGAACCTTATCGATGTTGTCGAGTGCGAACGTTGCTGTTACCCTTCCCTTTCGGCGGGTACCACCATTCTGATCGGGTGCTTGCAGCGCAGACAATAAAGTGTGTGACATGCATAATCTTGATACCAATTTAAAAGTCGATATTCGCTGAGAACTGATCCCTATATCATTTAGCTGTCATATGATATACCGATCGACAAACAAACTAAAGAGGGTAATACTGTAGTGTATGAATAGGGTATCAATGGCTTCGGGTCTCTAGAGCTAGCGCTGCTTTCATGTGGCTGTTTGAAATGCGTATTGATAATCATTAGTTAAGTTGTTAACTGATTTCGTTTAGAGATTTGTCAGCAGACAACTTGTTAAGGTGTTCCCCCCATATATCCCACTGATCCCCTCGGAAATATTTGAATGTGATTTATCTGAGCGGCTAACAACCGATACACGGCCAGCAACAACAAGTTGGGCCATAAATCAAGGCGAGCTTTTGCGGCTAATGAGACAGATTGCTTTCGTCGTGGCTCCGAGACGGAGACGAGGCGGGCCCCTGTCTACCAGCCGAGCCGAGTCTCATCTCAGCCGAGACCCTGGGGTCAATTGCTGGTGGTCTCAGACATCTGAGATCCCAGCCATCGATGCCCTGGGCTCAATTACATCAAATGATATTTTATTGGTATTTGATGAGCGTCGAGAGTTGATGCAATTGCTTGATCAATAAATTTAACCCCCGAACCGTGGTACTCCACTCATTAGAGTGATCCTGAACCTGAACTCGAAAGGAACGGCCACCAACAAAGCAGATCTCGTACTGAAAGCGTGTGGGAGCCGACCGACGGGTCCTAATCCCCCCAGCTAAAGCACAAAAAAAAACAAATAAAATCACATAAATAATGCGCTCATTGAGTTCCACTTTACCTCACTTCTCAGTCTCAGTTTCAGATCAGTTCCAATTTCTGCCCATTTCTCTCTGGATTCTGTCTTGCATTTTTTTCACAATAAATCACGTGGTCCAATTAGGCGCGCTCAATTTGCGATCGCTGATCCCCGATGAGCTAAAAGAAAAACATTCCAACAAAAAAAAAAATAACCATAGGCGGCCCTCCGCAACTCAATTAGGTTGGTGGTGGGGGAGGGCTGGTCTTAAACGTTCCCTCCAAAAAGGTGGCATACATATGTAAGTAGAATTGACATTATGTACATACATACATATGTACATATATCGTATCGTATCGTATCGTTTATTTACATAGAAAAAAAAAAAATACATATATAAATAGAAATAGAGCGAGCGATGGGCTACCGATATTCGTGTTATCTACAATACATGACTAATACGCCATCGATCTACATTTCAGTTGTGATTCACACTTCACACTCATAGGTGTTTAATGGTTACTTTGAGTATCGATTCGGAACAGCCTCCACAGTGCACCAAGTGCTGCCAGGCCGAGGATCTTCCATGGGGAGAAGGCGCCCACACCGCTGCCGGAGTTCGTTGAGGCGAAACCCAAACGATTGTTGCCCAAATCGAACTCCGTGTAGTAGCGACCGATGAATATGTCGCCCAGAATCCAGAAATCAGAGCCCTCTACGGACTCGATGCCCAGCGTGCAGAAGCCATCCAATTGCACGATGTAGGCGCTGGGCGGGATCTGGAAGGGTACACCGCTGATGGTGATGGTCAGGGTGGGCAAGGATGAAATGTCGGCGCAGTCAATGACCTTGTTCAATATGGTGAGGATCTTTTGATAGATGGCGGTGGGAACAATGATCAGCGAGGTGCCCGTATCGGCCACTGCCAGGCAGTAGCTGCACAAGGTGGTGCTACCCAGAGTGACGCCCTCCATCTGGAACTGCCAGTAGTTCTGGCTGTAGACGGGAACATAGATGAGTTTGCCCGTGTAAAGCGACGGATCGGAGCCACCCAGGATGAGCTCGCCGCCATAGCTGGCCGTCGAGGTGCCATTGTTTGCCAGGTAGAAGGAGAACACGGGCGCATCGACCAGTTTTTGGCTCCACATGTTGTAAAAGGGCGGCAGCACACCGTCCACGGCCAGGCTGGAATAGGCCATGCCAAAGATGCCATCGAACGAGGCATCCTCCATGCCGGTGCCCGTCTCTATGGTGGCCTCCCCGAACGTTTGTCCCACAATTTTCAGCCCTGCGACGGTCACCACATCCGTGGAGAGGGTGCCCGACACGCTGCCCGAGCCATAAGTGATGGCGAAGGTCTTCCCATTGTTCTGAAACGTTGTGGAAGCGCTGGAGCTGTAGGTCTTGCGACTCGAGCAGTCCAAGCTGGAGCAATTCACGCTGGGTACCCACAGATTCGAGGAGCCCGTGTCGAACTGCACCATGAAATACTGTGGCGGTGTTCCGATGCTGATGTTGCCAAAGTACTGAAAATTCATGATATTTGTCAGCGTCTCAGCGGTGTAGTTTCCAGCGATGGTAGTGCTGGAGCTGGACCTGGTGCTGTTGCTGCTGCTGCTGCTGTTGCTGCTGCTGATATTGCTCTGCATAAGATTGTATTTCCTCGACACATGCTCCCTTTCGGCAATGAGGCTTTGACGAGTGCGCACAAATTTCTGCGAGCGGTGCACGGGTATTCGGTGCAGCGCGGCGCACGCTCCTGCCACCAGGCCCAGAATCGTTAACAAGGCCAACGCCCTGACTTGGCTGTTGCTGCTGGTCATGTCGCTTCCCCCGATTGACTTCGACTAACTGTTGGGGCACCCGCTGTCTGAGGCTTTATAGGGCGCTCCACAAATCTTCTTCAGATAACAATTTTCGTTGATATCTATTTATTTATTTATTTATTTATTTCTTGCCTTCTTTCGTTCACTTAGCAGAGAATGTAACAAGAAAATATATTTAAAATATTCTTTGTTCGATTTTTAATACTTTCTTTTATGACTTTTATTAGATCGCAAGTGGAACCTTATCTTTCATACAAAAGGAAAAAAGAACATTCTTTAATTCTTTGATCGTTTATTGGGAAACCTTTTATCTATCGCTGCTGCTGAGGGAACTTACTCACCGTTAGCTTTCCTATCAGTTGGTTATCAGAGCCACATGCGCGGCCCAGCTTAAGTTTTCAGATAAAAAAGAAAATCCATCAATGCTGCAATTAATCACTTACTTAAATTTGGAGGCGTACATACATATGTATGAGTCAATATATGAGTACGCATATTGGATGGATATAGCTGGCTGTGATATGGATGGAGATGGGTGCTTCCCCACCCAACGGAAGCGCGCAAAAAAAAGTAAATTTAAAGTGTTAGAAATGGCAGATAAAATATGTGCCCCAAGGTGTGTAACTAATGGAACTTCCCGCTGAAGAAAAGCAAGCGAAAGGCAAAAGAAAGACTCCTCCACGAACCCATCTCTGCATCTATTCATATGGTAATAACTTCCTGGCCGCCTGGCAACGACATCTGGGATCTGGATAAAATGTTAATTAACCTGCGCTCTGTGTTCACTGCTAATGGAGATGTCAAGCAGCCCAGTCGCCTGGTCATCCTTAAAGGAAAGTGTCTGTGTGTGAGAATATTTACGGGATGGTGCGGGTGGACGTGGACCCGAAGGACCCACCAAGTTGGTGCATGAATGAAAGCGATATGGCCACAAAGAGTTATTGTGTTTAATGTATGCACAGCGAGCGAGCGAGCCAGCGAGTGTCCTGCGCCAGGACAGGTCAACGGACACAGGCGAGCAGTAGGTAGTTTTCTTTTTTTTTTTTTGTTTTTTTTTTTGCCAGCCGTGTAGATGTTGTAGGTGTAACCCACTTGATCCGGCATGACCTAATGTTGCACTACACACAATGGGCCATGATGAGGCTGCTTTGTCGCCCGTGCGGCAGTGTCAACTTGGATTCGTTGCGCTACCAGCAAGAGGTTCGGCCCCGAACCCAGTTCCAGTCCCAATACCAATTCCAATTCCAATCCAGAGCTGCGTTCGTGTGTGGGTGAGAGCGCGCTCGAAGTCAAACAAATTGAAAATTTATCACCCGAAGCGAACCGAAACCGAAACCCCGAGTCCAACCGAGTCGACGACGATGATGACATTGTGTGCCAAAGCAAATGCATTTTTTACACTCAGGGAAAAGCATTGAACCATTCGCAAATTGATTTGCGCTCAGCACCGGAATGTCACACGAACAATGATGATGACGATGATGATGATCCTTCCTTGCACACTGTTTCCTGGGATGTGGCATCTATCCAATTTCAAAGAAGTTTCACACGCAAAAGCCGCCTGCCTCAAAGAAGCTCTCGCTCTTTGGAGTCATTGGCCCGCTGTTGCCGTAGCTGTTGCCGTAGCTGTTACCGTAGCTGTTGCTGTTGCTGGAGTTCGATACCAGTCCGAGAGATATATATCTGGGCATGCTATATGGCCTCGGCCCTGGAGCGCTGCGTTTTAACTTCAATTTCATTTCGCGCTGATCGATTTTTGCACGCAAAGTGTGAGGGAGTCGAGGCAGCAAAGCAGCCCCCAAACCGAACCAAACCGAAACGAACCCATCCAAATCCCCCCAATCCCAATCCCCCAGCACAGAACCACAAAATATGGCTCCGTACTTAGGCATTGAATTTATTGTTCATTCCGATCAATATTTTATTGTTTTTCTCCATACTTCTGCACCTCCTTGGATGGGGTCTACGTCTCTCTCTCTCTCTCTCTCTCTGCTTTTGTGGTGTCTTTGGTGGTGTTGCTGCTGGTGCGTTATCAGCTGAGCTTGAGAGATCGAAGGTGCAGCTTCAAAGCGCCGTCGGCTACTGAGGCAGGCACTGAGCCAGCGAATTCTCATATCGGTTTCAGTTCAGTTCTCTTCTCTTGGTTGCTTTTGCTTTTTTGCTTTTGTTTTATTTTTCGGCCACATGCAAAACAATAATCGATGCCGGGCTCTCTGGGTTCCATTTAAAAACGTGTTAAAGAGGCACAGGGGGGCGCTTCACAGATAGAGAGAGAGAGAGAGAGAGGAGAGTGGCAGGCGGCAGCTTGCAACTTGCAAGTTGGTCTTGCAACGCCCACACTGCACCGCCCTGGCTTATTTGATTTTGGACGCATTCATTCCGCGCCCAGCGGCACTTGATCCTCCTCATCCGCCCATCCCCCCATCCGAATTGGATTTACGATGTGATTTCGATCATTTGACATAATCTATTTAGCGTCTGCTCGTGCTCCTCCGCCCAGGCGCAGATCTTTGCCAGCTTCAGCTTCAGCTCCACATCTCTGATTCCTTTGCCTTCCCCCTCACCACCCCACCCTGCCACTCTGGCTTGGGATTGGGGGCATAATTTGTAATGAGATAATTTTATTTGCTTTTCGCAATGACTTGTGTTTGGGCCCAGCGCTGGAGCTGGAGAACTCAGCTGATATTGCACTGGATGGTGGCTTACATATTTGTGGGTGCCCGGAACCAGCGATCACCACTCCAAAGAGAAATACATTAGTCCCTGTTTAATTGGGGAGTATCTATGGCTCTCAGGTGTCGCATCTAAATGTAGAGGAAATATTTGATTATTATATTTTTAGAGTATGTAATTTTCAGGTAATTTATGGAGAAAGAAAGGAAAGTGCTCCCTCTCCCTCACACTTGTTAAATACCCCAAGAGTTTTACATTAAATATAATTATTAAATATGACAAAGAACACACACATTCAGCTCGTGTTCGTGAATCTCAGCTCAAAAAAAAAAAACAAAAAATATAAAAAACATTTTTTTTTTTTACTGCTTGTCCTTTATGATCGTAACTTTCTTCTACCTTCCACTTGGCGCATCCTTGTGACTCACCATAGACCATAGATCAATCTAGCCATATAGCATAGCAAATGTGAAATTTGTTTTCCCCTAACAAGGGACACACACACACACACAAAACCAGGGCCATAACTTTCGTTCGAGCGATGCTATCAGACTGTAATGGAACTGGGCTTCTGCTGCTACTGCTTCTGCTGCGGCTGCAGCTCCTGTCCACAACCGACTAACACGCAATCTTTTACGAGCATAACTAATGTCTAATCGGTTTACGACTTTCACCTACCGCAGCCTCCACGTTAACCCTTGAGGGAAATGTGAATGTGGCAACACTGGCTGGGGGTGGGGGTATCAGCTATCAGCACTGGCTACTAATTGATGCCCGCAGGACAGTAGCCAAAAAAAACAACAAAAAAAAGGGACACGCGCTCGTGTCGCTCTCTCTCTCGCTCTCTCTTCTCGTTTACTTTCCTCCATTGATATGTATCAGTGGAGAGGTCTACTAATTAAGGGCCAAGGATCTGGACCCACCGCACTCGGCCAGATCCCTCTCTCTCCCACTCTGCTTACCCTTTTGTGCTGCTCGTAATTCGTAATTAAATGTTTCTTCATTTTTTTTGTTCAACTCTTTCGATCTGTAAGCCTAATGAAATGGGGGGCTTAAAAAATACTACGCTGATCCCAGTCTCCCGGCTGCATCTGCGGCGCCTTCAATGTGGGTCAGCAGTCGAGTGGATGCCGCTTAATGCCAGTGCTGATAGTTACTAATTGTTTGTTATTAGTGTGTGTCCATACGGTTCTGTAACTGTTTTGGGGCTGAACTTCCTTTTTTTTTGTTTTGCGATTCTTATGGGCTTGCTGTTTCTTCACTTTTTTTTTTTTTGTATTGGGTTTTGTAATCTTTCAGTATCGTTGCGGGATTATGCTACGTTTTCTCATTGATTGTAATCAAGGCAGAGCCAGTGCCCAGTGCCAGGGCCAGGGCCAGGGCTTGAGCCTCAACCAGAACCAGAACAGCGCAGCGTTGATCGATAGCCATCGCTGCTCCAGTTGATGGTCTCCAGATCTTGATGGCCCAACTCGTTTTTGCAATTTTTCGTGTATTTTTGTTGTTGTTTTTGTCCTCTACACTTCACTAAAAAGTACTTTAGTTTTAGCTCAGACGTGGGCAGCGCACAGAAGAAATTATTTGCGACCAGCCTATGCTGAATTTTTGCACTAAACTTTTTTTTTTCTAAATATTATTTACAGACTTTTAATTTTGCTGTCCGCAGCGAAAGCTAACTCGAGTTCATCTAGGAACATGCTGGTTTAAGGTCTCTGTTAGGTCGCTGGAGACTCCAATTAAATTCTGTTTGCTGGGATTCCAGCACAGAAAATCCCAGAGTTAAGACCCCAAAAACCAACAGCATTTATCCTCTAACTTCCATGGAAGGTAAGGAAAGAAAGAGCATCTAAACCATCGGTACTCGGCTGCGGGCGCACATCCTTCTTGTGGTTTTATTTTCCTTCGCATTTTTCTCATTTCGTTTTCGTTTTTATTTTGCCTTTTCTTTTTGCATAAAACGCGCCTCATTTGCTTTACATGCCAGCGAATTGAGTTTATTTTTTAAACAGAGCCTTCGCTGTGCTCCTCCAATGATGATGCCAATGCCAATGCCAATGCCAATGATGATGATGATGATGATGATGATGATGATGATGTTGATGCTTCTGTTGTCGAGCTGCTGAGGGACCACCCAAGCAGTCAGTCAGCCAGTCAATATTTGCCACCAAGGTTGGTCTCCACTGTCCCCTGCCCGCCCTGCTTCATTGCGCTCTGCTTTCTGGGTGTAACGCATCGCATCTTTTGCATTCATTTTTGGGCGCTGCAAATTAGAAAAATTTGTTGCACGAAAATCAATAAAAGCTAATGGCTGACCAAATTGAAAATCGAAACCCACCTCTGGGCTAGTACTCCCTGAGTGAC